ATAACACATTGATAGAAATAGATTCAGAAACTGAGCTAGTGAAGGACTGTATGATAAAATGGGCACAAAATATTGAGGAACCAATAACAATGGAAACATGGGAAAAAATATGGGTCAGAAATATAAAATTTACCCAAGCTCAAAACTTGAGAGAAAATTTTTACAAAATGTTTTATAGATGGCATTTAGATCCCAAAAAGTTAGCTTGTTTGTATCCAAGCTTATAATCCACATGTTGGAAATGTAAATGTGATGATGCAACGTATTATCATATACAGTGGACATGTAAAAAAATTAAGGCATTTTGGATTAAGATATGGTGGATTATACAAAATATTCTTAAAAAGAAGATAAAATTTACTCCACAGTTGTTTTTATTGGGTATAATTACAGACTGTACGGTTATAGAGATTAATTTGATTTTGAACTTAATAACAGCAGCCTGACTTTTGGTGGCGCAGTATTGGAAGAAGGAAGATCTACCTACTATTGAAGAATGGACATTAAAAGTAGCTAATTTGGCGGAGATGGCTAAAATCTCTGCATATTTGAAGGATCGTTCAAATGAAAGATATGTACTGGAAGGGAGAAGATGGGTTGATTATATTCAAAATAAATATGGGACTAGAAAGTTGCAAATAGCTTATGAATGAAATATTTAGGTGAATTCTTATATTTTTACATTTTGGTATGTATGGGGGAGTTAAAGTGTGAGAGGGAGTTAAGAGCTTATAGTTAGTTTGTTTATGTTTGATTATGTTTGTTAAATGCTATACCCTGTATTTTGTTTTGGGAAGTTGGAGGGGGGGGGAGAAGGGAATGGGTGGGGGGAGGAAGGAGGGGGGGAATTTGTTTGTAAAAATATTTTAAAACTTTTCAATAAAAAAAAGAACAAATAGAAGAATATGGGAAAGTAGCAGGTCTGAAAATTAATAAAGATAAGACAAAAATATTAGTTAAAAATATGAGAGAAAAGCAAAAGAAGGAGATGATGGAGAAACTGGACATTCAAATTGTGAAGAAAGTGAAATATTTGGGCATCTATCTGACATCAAGATGTGCAACGCTTAAGGAAGACAATTATCATAGACTGAAAAAACAAATTGAAATAGGCCTGGAGAAATGGAGAAATTTGCAATTATCACTAATGGGAAGAATAGCACTAATAAAAATGAATGTATTACCAAAAATATTATTTTTATTTCAAACTATACCAATAAAACTGGAGAAAAAATATTTTGAAGAGTTGAAGAAAATAACGTGGAAATATGTGTGGCAAGAAAAGAAAGCAAGGATCAACATAAAAATGCTACAAGATGCAAAAATTAGAGGTGGGTTTGGCCTTCCGAATTGGGAATTGTATTATCAAGCGGCAGCGTTAACATGGATTAAAGAATGGATATTATTAAGGAATACAAGACTATTGACATTGGAGGGTCATGATGTACAACTGGGTTGGCATGTCTTTCTATTGTACGGGAAACAAAGGATACATGGATATTTCCAGAGACATTATATAAGAAATGGTTTGTTATCAGTGTGGGAGAGAGTGAAAGAAAAACATTATTTGAATATTCCAATGTGGCTTTCTACAATAGAAGCGGTGACATACCCAAATATTGTGAACATGAAGAATATTGTTAGATATAAAGACATTTTGACAGATGGGGGAGAACTGAAACAAAAACAAGAACTAGAGAGACAAGGGATCGAGATAGATTGGTATACAAGACTACAAATACAATCAAGATATGAAGCAGATCATAGACAATATGGCTTTAATTTAGGGAAATCAGAACAGGATGAAATATTGACAGGAACAGATGAGAAAATGATTAAGAAATTATATAATTATTTACTGCGTATTAGATTAGAAGATGAAGAAGTAAAAGAAACAATGATAGCATGGGCAAAGAATTTTGGATACACCATAGAATTGGACAAATGGCACAACTTTGGGAAAGAAATTATAAATTAACAATGGCAACAGCCTATAAAGAAAACCTGTATAAGAGGTTTTATAGATGGCATATGCCACCAGAAAGATTAGCTAAGAGGTTTAAAGATAAATCAGCTAAGTGTTGGAAATGTCATCAGTTGCCGGGATCATAATATCATATGTGGTGGTTGTGTAAAGAAGCAAAACAATAGACTGTGAAAATATTGACATGGTTAGAGGGAATGTTGCAGCAACATATAGAGTTAAAACCAGAGATATTCTTATTGGGAATTTTACCAGAGAATTATAGCAAAGAAGATACATATTTGATTATTCATATAATAACAATGGCTAGAATTGTATTTGCACAAAACTGGAAAGCAGATAAAATCCCGTTGGAAGGAGAAATTATAAAGAAAATTTTAGAATGTGTAGAAATGAATAGATTAACATTGAGAATAAAAGATAAAGAGGTGTCGATGTATTTCAAGACATGGGATAAATGTTATGATTGGTTAGAAAAGAAATATGAATAAGGATATAGAAATAAAATAAATAGAGAATGGATGGGAGAAAACAATTAGAAAAATAAATTCCAGATGATGTCAAGTAAAAGGAGAAAGGGGAGGGGGGTAAAAGGGAAAAAAGTGAGATATTATAAAAATGTACGCAAATGATGAAATAAAAATAAATAATAATTGAATAAGAAATTGAAATGAGAATAAAGATAATTAGAAAATCGGGGCTGCTCAAATACCACTTTAGATTGAACTGAAAAGGGAAACAACAGGAGAGAGGGGAAGGAGTAGAGAGAGAGGAAGGGAGAAGAGAGAAGAGGAGAGGAGAGGAGAAAGAAAAAAGGGAAAAGGAGAGGAAGAAAAGGGAGGAGAAAGCAGAGAAGGTTAGAAGGGGGAAGAAGAGAGGAGTGGGGGAAGAGAAGGGGAAGTAGGAAAGAAGAGAGAAAGAACAAAGGAAGTAGGAGAAGAGAGAGGAAGGAAGAGAAGGGGAGGAGAAGAAGAAAGGTTGGAGTAAAGGTAAAGGGTAAAAGAGCAGTCTTGAAAAAGTAAAAATGAAAAATGAAAGTTAAAAGAAAAGATGAATGAAAAATGATGGAAATGACTGTACATGTAAATGTGTTTATGAGAAATTATATATATATATATATATATATTACTGCAAAAGACCCTTCACATAAGCCTGATGATGGCAGATGAGATTCTGTCGAAACGTCACTTCTACCCTTTTAGGGATATGTTCACAATTACACGGGAAGAAACCCGAAATATTAACTGTACACACACACACGCACACACACACACACACGTGTGTGTGTGTATATATATATATACACACACATAGGCAGCGCATCTCCCCATCACGGCCTAAATGCAGAACCCGAGGCAGAGAGGGTGAGCAGGCAGCATGCGGGCAGAGGCCCCGCAGAAGATGAGAGGCAGGAACTGGTACACCCTGCCAAGGTGGAGGGTGAGCAGGCGGCATGTGGGTGGAAGGATGGTGAGAGCCAGGCCCAAAAGGTGGCTGAGCCTCGCTCTGTGCACCCCGAGGCAGCCTTTTGGTCAAGTGCCTTACCTTTGTGGGCAGCTGTGGTGAGCAGAGTGGGCGAGGCATGGAGATCAGCTGGGCCGTGTGGCCGACATGGTAGGCCACGGCGAAGGCAGGCAAGCGGGTGAGGCATGGAGATCAGCTGGGCCGAGGGGACTGCATGGTCTGGGCAAGCGAGAGAGCGAAGGAGCAGAAAGCAGCAGGGTTGAAGGCATGACTCTAAGCACTGGCCAAGAGCAGGCAAGGCAAAATAAGGAGTGTCTGGGAGAGAAGGGGCAGAGAGGGATAGGGCGGGGCCAGCCAGTAGTGGCATTTGCTGGTTTGCCGAACTGCACATAATCTTAACTACCGGTTTGCCCAAACCGGTGAGAACCAGCTGAAGCCCACCTCTGAAAATCGTAAATGGCAAGACAGAATGACAGTTTCTATATAAATTGTAATCTTAAAATAACTATTTGGATACTCAAAGAACAATTTGAAAAATATATTCCCTTATTTGAGATTAGGTCTGTGTCATGCTGTGGCTGGATATAATTAAAATCTTTTATATCTTTTATTTTCAGCAACCTTTAATGACATAAAACTATAAATGTGGAAGAAATCTATGTAGCATCTGTTTTTCATAATCAAAACAACATTATATCATCTAGAATCCAAAATATATATTTCATTTATAGAGTTAAAAGATTGCTTAGATAAATTGATAGATCCATTTTATGGCCAAAACATTTTATCAGGAAGCATATTATTTTTCTGCAACTCTCCCGCCCCAAAATACCAAACAACATTCTAAAATAACCTCATTTAAACTTCTGCATATTCAATTTATAAAATATGTTTTTAATATTAGTATAATTTTATTCCAAATACAATAAACAGATTTAAAAAGTAGCTTTTTTTCTAAAAATAAAGCTTATATAAAATTGTTAGTTCAGGAGATTCTGCTCCTAACCATAGTGTTAGCAAAAAAAGATATTTGCATGCTGTTTAGACTCTACTCAGCTGGAAATGCACCACATGCTCTCAGTGTTTCCAAACACCATTCTGTCCTATGCTACAGGACATCTGTCCACAAAACAAAACAAAACAAAATGCAATGTGTACAAGTTTGGCCAAAATAGTTTGATATCTTAACAAAAAAAAAAGATAATAATGTTTCTGGTAGTAAAAATGCAGTCATAATGCATTAACTAACATCTTGTTGATCTTTCATGACAGCCAGTTTAATGTGGATACTACATTCTGCCTAATCATAGGCTGATTACCACTGAAAAATGTTTACTGGATTTGTATAATGAAAACATGGTTGAGTTTTAACAGCAAGCTATCTTCACAACTTTATTTCTTTAAATAATTACTTTGCTGCTCATGATGATAATAGACGGCAACTGAAGTAAGAACCAGTATCATTAAATGGACCCTTGTGGTTTCAAAGCAAATTAAATTAATTACCTGATAAGCTCCCAAAAGTTAAGCATTATGAGAGTTTAATACTTACTTGATGTAGTAGGGCACTTTGTTTGGTGATATGGCCCTTTCCCATGGGTCCTGAACAGAAGCTGTTAATTAAAAAAACAAAAACAAAAATGGAACATAAAATCATCACAAATGTATTTAGTTCAAGTTCAAAGCAAATATTATTATTACTCATTATTATTACCTTAATCTTTATGATTAAAATATTAGTTCACTGATGTAAGTCTCTTTACCCAGTTGTCCATGAAGACAGGAAGCACTAATATGTGTTCTGTTTTAACTTTAGTAAAATTGAGTTTATTCACTTGCAAAGATAAATGCAAAATCTTTTCAGTTATTAAATAACAGAAACAAAGAACAATATCTCCCTATTCCTGGTCCTTGGGAAGGACTTGATAGGTGAATAAAAATTCCAAAGCTATTCTAACCATCTAGCTGTAATAATAATAGAATTGAGAACTTGATACGAATGGAGGCCAACACCAGGTAAATAACTGGCAGTGGTGATTTTACATTGTTATGAATATAATAATGCCATGAAAGAGGTATTGTGTATGAGCCGTGGTGGCACAGTGGTTAGAGTGGTTAGAGTGCAGTACTTTAGGCTACTTCTTCTTCTGATCACCAGCTGATCACCGGCTGCCAGCAGTTTGGCAGGCTCAGGATTGACTCAGCCTTCCATCCTTCCGAGGTTGGTAAAATGAGGACCCAGATTGTTGGGGGCAATATGCTGACTCTGCTTAGAGAGGGCTGTAAAGCACTATGAAGTGGAATATAAGTCTAAGTGCTATTGCTATTGTGATGACCCAGGGCATGGCACAGAGATAACACAAACAGCTGGCAGTTCAAACCACCCTTTATTGCTCCGAATCTCCTCCAAACGCTCCCACATTTCTGGCAAGTCCCTGAGCAGAGTGATAATAAACCCCCCCACAAACCTGAAGCAGCCTCTGTCTGCAATTAGTCCAGCCCAGCACTGTCTGCACCAAGGCTGCATGGCAATAAATCCCAAATGTATTTGGCAAAACAAGAGCAAAGCAAGGAGTTCAGGGAGCAAAAGATCCAGATCAGTGGTGGGTTGCCCCCGGTTCGCACAGGTTCTATAGAACCAGTAGTAAAACTGGCGGGAGGCTCCGCCCACTGACCCTGATGTCATGAAAATGTGCAGAAGCTTCTGCGCTTGTGCGCGGCCCCATTGCAAACCGGTAGTAAAGGTAAGTAGAACCCACCCCTGATCCAGATAATTAGTCCAGAATGCCAACAAGGAATGCAACGACTCTTGGCAAGTTCAAACATCGGCACACAACACTTCAGGAAGTCAGTGTTTGTTCCTAACAAATGCCCCTCCCCATGGCATCTCCTTAAGTCTCATTCCCCAGGAGTGCCTGGTGAAGCTGGATGGGGCACTCTCCTCATGAGTGGCCTGCTCCGTCTGCACTGATCACACCTTTCCTGCACTCTCTGAGCCTTTGCATCAGTGGTTCTTGCTCCTCATCTGAGCTCTGTCTCTTGTTCATTCTGCCTGTGTTCCTCCCTGCCTGCAGGCCTTATTACTTCCGAAAAGCCTTGCCTGGACTGACTCTGACCTTCCCCAGTTTCCTCCAAGGCCAATGGAGCTGCCCTCTCACTTGCTGTCAGTTCTTGTTCCAGCTCATCTTCCGCTGCAGATTCAGACTCCGATGGGGGCATGACAAGTATATTGCACATCATGTGATTTACATTTGTATTCTATAATTCTGTTTATATAGGTAGTTCTCAAGTTATGACTGTAATGGAGTCTTCCCATCACAGTCATTAGTCATGATGGTCGTAAAATGAATCAGTTACGTGACCAATTAAATTTTACAATACTTTTTCTGGTGGCTGTACAGTGGCTGTCAAGCACTGGGGAAATCAAGAGATTCAGGCAGTTCAAATGATTATAAAGATTTATTGTAAGTTTAAACTCTCTATGAAATCTGAGCTACTGTACTAATGGTCAAGGGAAATGAGCAGGAATTAAGAGGCATTCAAGGTGGTCTGGACTTAGATATCTTGTGGGCACGCAGTGACTCAGGACTGATAGTGCATTTGACCTTTTCCTCAGCCTCAGCCTGGTCATCTCCTACAGTGACAGTTGGGGTCATTAAGCAAATGCCACAATTGTTAAGCAAACGAATGGTTTGCTATGGGTGTGGTTTTGCTGAAAACCAGAAATAAATGCTGGCATTCAACAAAATTGTCATAAAACACAGCTATATGATCATGGGGCACTGCAAACAGGAATACTTGCAATCATGTTGTTGAGCATCTGAAATTCAGTCAATAGGCAGACCTGATTGTAAGAAGCTGTAATGACTTGCCTCTCTCCCTCCTCAAGAAAGTAGAACTCTTAAAATGGCTGGCATTTCAAAAGGAAACTTTTATTTGGGAGAAAGTGATAGCAAGACAAAAAGGATTCTGAGGATTCCCACGCATGTCCATTAGGTTAAAAGGGATAGAAACCCCTCCACTGAGTCCGGCGCAGGGCAAGCCAATCTGCAGGTGCTAAATTGTTTTGAGAAGTTCAGGCTGAGAAGATGATAAGAAGTTGTTCTCAGGCATCGCCATTCCCTCCCCCCTTACATTCCCAGGAAGGTAAATCAAAGTACAGGTTAGGCATGCAACAGGAAAAAGGTTTTAAAGTGAAAAATGCATCCAGCCCCACTCCCCACATGAATGGCAGTGTCCCAATAGCATGGGGCCTGACATGCTGCCCCCCTAGGAGAAGGAGAGTTCCACCTGGAAGAAAACACAAGGAGACAAACAGGGTAAAGGTTTTAGTTAGGTTTGTCAGAGTATTGTGTATAGAATTTCTTTAGTAGCCTAGATATTCTGACATGTTTTTTGGCTACCCATTCGTTTTCAGAGGGGGGCAAGTGTTTCCAGGATACTAAATACTATATGGTCCCATGTTGTTTGTGTAAATCAAGTATTTCTTTGATTTCAAAGAGTTGCTCTCCCTCAATCATGATGGGTTGTGGTGGGGTTGCCTGCTCTGATCTGAGCAGAGATGTCACTTCAGGCTTTAGGAGGTTGCAGTGAAATGCTGGATGTACTTGCCTGAGGGCTTTTGGAAACAATAGTTCAACTGTCACTGGATTTACGATGCGTTTAATAGGGAAAGGGCTTATGAATTTAGGTCCTAGTTTCTTTGAGGGTTGTAAGGACTGTAGGAACTTAGTGGACAAGTGTACTCTATCTTCTACTTTTAATGGCTTGGGGTCCGCTCTCTTTTTGTCAGCCTATGCTTTAAAGGCTGTTCTGGTTTCATTGAGAACTTTTCTTACTACCCGCCAGGTGTTTTACAGTTGCTATATCTGCTCTTTAAGGGAGAGTATTGTAGACTCCTCCATAGGTAGCTCTGGCATTGGGTTGAAGTCCTGACCAGTAGCAACTTTAAATGAGGTAAAACCAGTACTGGAGTGGACTGCATTGTTGTAGGCAATGTCTGCAAAGGGCAGAAGGTCAGTCCAGTCATCCTGTTGGTAGTTGATGAAGCATCTTAGGTACTGTTCCAGTACTGATTTCGTCCGTCCGTCCCACCATTCGTATGAGGATGGTCACTCAAACTTAGACCTTGGTTGGTACCCAGGGGGCTTAGGAAAGCCCTCCAAAATTTTGACATGAACTGAACCCCTTGGTCAGAGATAATCCTTTGGGGAGCTCCATGCAGACAATATATATGGTGCAGGAATATCTGAGCTAGGGCTTTTGCGGTAGGGATTTTCTGGCATGGTATAAAGTGGATCTGCTTGGAGAATAAGTCAGTCACCACCCAGATGACAGCGTTTCCTGCACTTTCAGGCAGTTCTATGATAAAATCCATGGAGATCTCTCTCCAGGGTGCTGAAGGCTCAGCTACTGCTTGTAATAGTCCCAGGGTTTTTCCCTGCCTTCTTTTTGCTGCTGCACAGATTGTGCAGCTGGCCATGTAGCTTTCCATATCCTTTTTAAAAGATGGACATCAGAACTGCCTCTTTATTAGGTGTAGCATTTTTACAAATCTGAAGTGGCCAACTAAGTTTGAGTCCTGACAGTTTTTCATAAGGTCCAATCTTTGGCTAGCTGGGATGTACAACTTCCCTCCCAGCCATGCCAGGCCGTCTTTTAGTAAGCAAGTGTCTTTATGGGCCTGGAACCATTCATCTGTGAGAAGAGCTTGCTTAAACACCTGAGTCATGGTGTTGTCCATTGGGGGATCTATTTTTGGTTGTGCTCTGGTTATTACTTTGGCTACTAGGGGAGAGGCTGGGAACAGGGGTTTGACTACTTCTGATTTTGTATTATATTACAGCAGTCTGGACAGGGCATCAACTAGGAAATTCTTTCCCCCAGGAAGGTATTTGAGGGTGAAATCAAAGCATTTGACATATTGGGGCCATCATACTTGCTTTGGGGATAGTTTCCATGGGGTCTTTTTTTATTTTAAACCTTTATTGTTAAAAAAATGGACATGGTGGAACCATCTTGGCAATATCTCCGCCATACAAAGTGTAACACAAGTCTCTTATGTATCCAATATACATTTCTACTTACTAATTATATACACATACTTAACCACTTCTACATGTTTACAATTACAATTACATAATATATTACATATATTGCCTCTTGTTTCAATCTACACATCCTTGTTCTTATCAATTCCGACTTCCATTCCTTAAGACTAACCATTGATAAAATCTATTCCAAATCTCATAGTACTCTGTCTCTCCTTTATTTTTCAGTTCTAGGGTCAGTCTATCACGTTCTGCACAGTCAAATATTTTCTTTGTTATTTCCCTTTCTTTAGGTATGTTTCCAGTCTTACATTGTTGGGCATAAACTATTCTTGCAGCTGTTATGATATGCAGTATTAAATATGTTAACCCTTTACTTAGATCTTCTTTAATAATTTCTAATAAGAATATTTCTGGTTTGAGTTCCAATCTCTGCCCAGACATTTCTTCCAACCACCTTTGAATCCTTTGCCAATATTCTTTTACATGTCCACCACATGTGGTAGGAGGTGCCCGGTATTTGGTCACATTTCCAACATTTAGGTGATAAATTTTTGTACATT